TCATTTGACATACATACTTAAAACATCTGTTGGCGCATTATCAAAATTATACAAGAGATTGAAAACTACCCACAACGAAGTAACATACCGACTAAACACTAAAATTTTTATACATCTACAGAATGTCTATATCCTTTCAAACTTTGAAGTAAACGTACCTAATCTAATAAAGGTTTTTCCTGCGTTTAGTTATAACTTATTTTAAATTCCGAACGTAACCAACTTTTGTTCCAGATGTATGAAAAAAAAAATTAGTTTTAGAAGTAAAACTTCTTTACGCACGCTTGATTTGGGGAGTAAGCTGGCGAACGCGTGACGAAAGCGTTACGAGAAGTGTGATCGGGCGAGGCGAACGGGAGTTGAGTGGGGGATATAAGCAAGAGAGAGCAGTGTGCGCGCACATTTTCTTTCTCTCTTTCTCTCATAGCCATTTTATGAATTAATATTTTGTTCAATACAATACATATTCTAAAGTTTAAAGTGAATAAAAACACACACACAGTTCACGCACACACAAAAAAAAAAAACAACGACAAACACACACAAATACACGCACAAACACACACACACACACACACACACACACACACACACACACACACACACACACACACACACACACACACACACACACACACACACACACACACACACACACACACACACACACACACACATATATATATATATATATATATATATATACACACAGATGGAGCTAAAGAAGTTTTACTTCAGTCATGTGGTCACAAGCACACTCGTTTTTTTTGCAGTGCTTTGCTTTGCTATGCTTGCGCCGACAGTAGCAACCAGCCGCTATAATGAAATTAGGATGTTTTTTTTTAATTTGTCAGGAATTTATATAAGCGATAGTCGAGTTGCGTATATGTAAAAATCAGGTAGGTTTTAAAATTAACAACGCAAGGAAAAGATATATAAATTGAAAGCAAAGAATAAAAGACAATCTAAAGAAACGTTTTGATTTACTATAATAAATAAATTGTATTGAGAGAGGTATAATTTGTGTGACACAGGCATTATAAATAAAATTGTAAATATATCAAAATGCATAGAATTTACCTTTTATTACAGTAGCCAATAGTTTCAAGAAATTGGTTCTCAGAATATAAACTTATTCCAAGTCCATAACTTAATCAATAGGTAGAAAAAAAGCAGATATACAGAAACTTATTTTAGTGTATTTAATCCCTACTCTTCAATGGCACTTCATATCGTGATAACACACATTTATATTTAAACAAATACTTTGCGTGTAGAATTGATGAAAAATATTACTAGAATACACTGGTTTCTATAAATCTAAAGCAAGAGTCCAGTCTACAAGGTCCGCAAGAATACATCGCAATATGTTGGTTGACATTGATGCATTTTGGGAGATTTTGACGATAACGTAACTTAACAAACAGTTAATGAAAATAGGATCTCAAAAAGTTCAAACGGACAAAATAACTAGAGATTTAAATCATCAACGGAACTCCCCATTTTATCGTTTTTGCTATCAGTTTACATGCGCAGACATTTAATAAACAAAATCGCACTACTTTTACGTGTCAAATCCACTACAAATTATGACCACCACTAAAAATATCCGCCGGTGGTCAAATTTACGACAAAAGTTTATTTTTACTAAAGACCGATTTACACTTCGTCAAGTATACCAGGGCAACCATACGTTACAGGGTAGTAAACGGATAAGTAGACGTAGTAGCGTTCAAACAATGTCTTCGTGGCTAGTTTAGTTTAAGGATATTAGTTCATTCGTTTGAGTGTGACGTTTCAAGACTACAGAATTTTTCTTGTTTTCGTTTACGATGGATTTACGATTACGTCAAGAATTAAAATATAGTTAGAGAAATATTACTGGTTGTTGTTAAAGAAGTTTTTAAGAATTTTCATGAGTGCAGCATCTCGAGCAGGTTTAATTTTATAATTTAAACTACTATTATATAAACATTCTTGAAAGAAAGAAAAAACATTTATTCACGGTCTAATCACAATAGATACAAAACAAAGCAAGAAATTGGAATTAAACAGAGAATAAAACAATATTTCCCTAAATTAACAAAAATGTAAAAATAATATAAAATGAGTCTGTGTAGCAGCATAAGACCGTGAAATGGACAGGACTCAGTAAAAATCGAGATACAGAAACACGAATTGCTCTGATCCCGACACTGGTTTTCAGTCCGGCCCGCACTCCGACGTAACTCGGACGTCTGCCTCAATGCACACGCTATAATGCGACGCGGAATATATAAAAAATATGTGTTTTTAAATTTTTATTCACATAAATAGTGGATATCATTATTCTAATGAAGGTAAGTACAAAATAGAATTAACGTTTTCCTTCTAAATATATCAATTTTATTTATTAAGAATGCGGAATAAACGTTGGCTAAAGAATAAAGGTAAGAAAATGATTCTCAAAAAAAATAAATTTTTTACATAAATATTTAAATAAAATAGTTTTATATATTATATAAAGTGAAAATTAAAATATCTACATAATTTATGGGACTGAGATTACTGACGCGTTGAAAGAACTTAACCTCCTACCAGTTTATTTTATAGATCGGTATTTTTTTGTTCCGAAAGTAAGTGTAACCTGTTTGATTTTAAACCCACTAATTGTTTTCGGTGTGGGGGGGGTTATTCCAACATTTAGTGCCATTATATTTAAAACTACCTCTGAAAGCGGCCGACCGGTAGAAAGGATATACTAACTTGTAATTGGATGATCTGGTATTATACTGCTTATTTTGATCTTTAGACCAAATCAACTTATTATACAGAATGGGTCCCACATATATGCAATAAATGAAACCACAAGTAATACTAGTCCGTAGAAGTGTAGAAAAATTAAATATTAAATTAAAACCCGTAAAATAAAAAAGTGAAATTTTCAAACAAAATAAATATTAAAATAAATTCAGTAAAAGTGAACACTCTGTTTAGACAACGTACCTTGACCCCTTGGAAGAGTGACAACGTTGCACGCAGGTGGCACGCCGACAAAAGACACCGCTGTCGATATGTCGCAATACCAATAGTTTGCACTGCGTGGCAACGTCGCTTTTTAATGTTCAAGGATTCAAGTTCATTGAATCATTGACTTAGTGACCCAATTCTATAGGATGTTCAAATTTGCTTAAAATTAAAACTCTACTTTTTGACCTAATTACTGGACCGATTACGTTCATTTTTTGTATATCGTCAGCAAAGGCGATAACAAGTATATGGTTTCATTTATTGCATATATGTGGGACCCATTCTGTATAAATATGAAGGTTCTTTATTTTTAATAATTCCAAACAAAAGTGAGGCAAAGTGTAGTCGCCTGCGACAGTCCATTTTTAAAATATTAGCGTTATTAATGAAAGGGGTGACATGTGCACGTGGTGGTACATTGAAACAAAAGCGTGCACAGGCATTCTCTACCCGCTGTATTATTTGCTGTGTTCGAGATAATAGTCGTGGGCCTATGAAAGAATCCGCGTAATTGAATTTTGAAAGCACGATAGACTCGCAGAGATGTATACGTAATCATTCGTGTTCTATATACTCTTGTACGATTTTATATGTGATATCTTCCGGCCATTTCATTACTAAAACTTAATATAAAACATATAAATATTCAATAAACAGTACCGTACAAATTTTGTGGCGAGTTTAATTATAAGAGCGGTTTCAGACTAGCGTTTTATACGCGCGTATGAGCTCGTTTTTGGAAGCGCATGTAGGCGCGTATAGGCGTGCCTTTTGTCACACGCTCGACTTGTACGAGCGTTGACGCGCTTCTAAGCTCGTATAAGTGCGAGCTGCGAGAGAAACCTCCCCGCGCGCCCATTTCCCCCTCTGCCGGAGACCACGCACGCACGCGTCTCAGTTGACAACTTCACATTGCAGTGGATATACATTTTAACAGTGGATTACGTTTTACAATGTCATATACTGTTGAACGTCTTATTTTTGAAATTGAATCATGACCAGCAATATGGGATAGTAGGACCAAGGAATATTCTAATAGAATAATAAAACGAAATGCTTGGGAGGAACTATCTGCAGCGTTGGAACCAAACTTTGAAGAGAAAACAAGTGCAGAAAAATGTCTAATAGGTATGTTGATTGATGATTTTACTGTACATTATACCAACAGTAACAAATAAAAAACTTTTAAATTTTATTTTATATCTTTTATTATGAATATTTTGATTGCCATGAAAGTGTCCCTGCATCACTCACAAAGTAGTCAGCAAAATTGTCGCGGATATCATATGCCGCTTTATTTCTTGTGCTCGGTATTAGGTTACCTACAGTATCTTGAGTGCCATTTGTTGTCGGTGAAATATAATTATTCTCTCTTTGACGAACAAAATTATGTAAGACACAACAAGATTTTACAATACAAATCAATTGACACATTTAGTGGTCGGTGGAGGATCCTCCATGTATTAGCCAGAATCCCAAATGCACATTCGATATGGCGGCGGGCTCTGGATAGTCTGTAATTGTAAATTCTTTGTTTTGGTGACAAATTGTTGCCACTATATGGTCTTTGCATATTTTCTTCCAACTCAAAAGCCTCATCGCCAATGAATGTGAACGGCAATCGCCTGAACTATGTAAGGGTCTGGGTTTAGGAATATTTAATGACTTTTCATTAATCATTTTGTATAGTGTACTGCTTTTGTATATTTGCGAATCTGCACTTTTTCCGTAAGAACCCACGTCAGTGAAAATAAAATTAAAATCTGAATCGCAAACTGCTAATAGCACAAGAGAAAAATAATGCTTATAATTAAAGTAAAGTGAGCCACTGTGAGCCGGCAGAAATACTTCTATATGTTTGCCATCGATAGCACCTAGAAGATTAGGAAAGTTTGTGGTACTATTGAAGCCTTTCGCAATTTTCAACCATTCTTCTTCAGATGTTGGTGGCATGCATATAAATTTCAAAAGAATCCTGATAGGTGATAAAAATGAGCGACTTCACGATAGAACCCGACGAGTTTTTTGGCGCAGCCATAGAGAAACTAAAAGCAACAGACACCGCGGATACACTCTACCAGGGTGTCACTATACCAGTAATGGAGGCTGCAGGAGTGCGAACCCGGGGTAGAACTCGGAAGTCCACGGATGACGGCAACACGACGTCTAAGAAATCCAGGCCTCGCCGAGGTAAGGACAAGATAGTTGAAGAAGACTCATCAGAAGACGATGATAGAGTAGAGCAGGGACCCCAACCACCTCCCGGCAATCCACCATCAGCACCCCCTGGAGACACATGCATGAGCCAAGATGCGGCAATACTCTTCTCCATGATGACACGACTTGAAGAAAAGCAAGACAAAATAATCTCACTCTTATCCTCAGTTATTGAGAGGATGGACAAAGACCGTCAGACAATGAATAACTTAAGCCTCCGAGTTGAAACCTTACAAAAGGCTCGAATGTTGGGCCTAACAGCTCAACCAACCCCTACATCCGGGGCTGCAGCCTCCAGCGGACCTACTCCGCACATTACTGACGACAAGAAAGGACCCGTGTTCATATAACAAAAAAGGAAGGACACTTCCGGAGGATCAAGACTCTCATACAATCTATAGAAAAAAAAAAATTTCCATATTGTTAAACAAGTTTCCCGCACAATGCTTGATACTGTAGAAATCCCACATTTGTATGAATAATGCAGCTCGGTAAATGTGCATCCCGATGCTAGAAACCTGCAACAACTTCTATGTTATATTTAATTTATACATTTATTAAAATACTTGTTTCAGGCACTACTATTCAGAAAAAATGGAAAAGCATCAGAGATGCATTCTCACGATAACTGAAGAAGAATCATTTAAAAAGCAATTCTGGACCCAAAAACTCAAAGCCTTACGCCTATTTCAATAATCCATTGTTTTTGAAACCACTGTATGAAACAAAACCTAAAAAAGACGAACAAGAAAATACAGACGACGAAATTGTAAACATTGAAGATGGCATTAATTATAACGCTGATAGTAATGATGCTTCAGATATTACTGTTGAAACAACTAGGTCTAGCTCGTCAGGAAAAAGAAAAAATGAAGAAAATTTGTTCAAAATCTTAGCAGATAATATTATAAATAAAAAGAAAAGAAATATGGAAACAGCAGACAATGATGATCCGGATAAACAATTTTAGTTATCATTATTGCCAGATTTTAAAAATATGGATCCGAGTAGTAAATTTGATTTAAAATATAATGAGTGTTATGAAGAGATATAAAGATTATAATAAGTCATATTCAGAATATGGTTATCGAACAGGAGCTACTTCTATGAGTACTCAGTATTCAAATTCGACATCAATCGCAAGCCCCCCACCCGGTTCGTCTACTCCATTGCCATCTACTTCTACTACTTCCAACATTCATAGCACCAGTTCACGGAGGATGGTGAAGAAATTTTTCAAGATTTGTTCATAAATAATAACTAATTTCGTAAATAAATTTTGTAAACGTAAACATTTGACTTTTAATACTCACCTTATAGTGATCGCAAGCCTCTCTTCAGCAGATATGCTTTTCCTTAACACAGTATCTTTATGCTCTAACTGTGATTTTAATATATTTAACAATACATCAAAAGTGCTCAAAGACATTCGAAAGTAATTTTTGAATCGTTTAGAATCACTTCGCAGTTCTAGGTAAAGTGTATTAAAGTGACCGGTCATTAGTCTTGATGCAACTATCGGTGACACCCAGCATTTTTTTCGTCGTCTCAGTCGACGGCGAATAAGTAACGCAAATAGTAACGTTTCTTCGTCAGAATCCATGTTGATACTGACACCACCACCGGTGCGAGCGAACACGCCGAAATATGCCCGTTTACGCGAGTATAGTTTTTAGAAGCGCGTAATGTAGCGCGCGTATAAGTGCGTATGCTGAAACGACCGTATACGCGCAAAAAAATACGCTAGTCTGAAACCGCTATAAAAGTACAATTATACGTTTTGGCGCGCGAACGTTGCGTCCTGTCAACTTATGCACTGAACTAAACTCGCTCGTTTACACGAACAGCGAGTTTAGTTGCGGGTGGCGGGGCGGGAGACGCACGGGAGAGCAGCACTTCGCACTTAACTCGCCGAAAAATAACCTGGCCAGCTATCCGTTCAACTTAAGTGTTAACTTGCTATTTAACTCGCTTATTGTCGTTCAAACGAGATTTTCTATTTAACTCGCCAGGTTCGCAAGTTAACTCGCTACTGTACTTGTCGAAGTGTAAATCGTTCTTAAATATTATGACGGCTTTATAAGTAAAAAATTAGTCAATTTAAAGGTTTGAAACAAATTTCGTATTTAACGAAATAAAACCTTATTGGATTCAGCCTCAACATTTCAATATTTTGTACAAAATTACCTTACCGAAAAATGTTTTAGCATTTTAACCTCCAAATCATCTACAATACTAATTTTAAATAAATTTATACAGTATTATTATTATTGTATTAAATTAGGTAAAATTTTATACGAATAATTAAAACGTGAAAAATTGGTAATAAATTCAGTTAAATTATATGTCACATAAAATACCTTCGTAAAATAATCATGTTAAACTATAGTCGCTCACAAAAGATGAAATGTTTTTAATCTATTAATATATCTCAAAGTATGACTCTTCTTTACTCGAAAAACTCGCAAAACCATTCCATCTATAAATGTTATAAAACCTCAACGGACGGAAATCTAAAACTACGTATATTATAGAAAATTTTTACTTACATTTATAGAGCCTTGTCTGACAACTCAAAGGTTCACTCTGCATTAATAAAAGCAAAAGAAATGTCACAAACATCTTATACAATAACTATATATTTTGTATACTTTGTTTTGGTTATGGCGGTGGGATTTTTAAATTCTTGATAATATCACGACAGCCAAATGTATAGATTTTATTGCTAGGTATCTTCGTTGTTTTCGTAACATTTATATTTTAATTATAGTCTGTTCACTAAGATGTCGATACACACGCAGGCACACTTATTATTTTGCTTTTATTTTATTATTTTTACTGTGTTTATAAATTTTTTTCTATTCTGAGAGTAAAATAAGATACTATTTTATTGTTATGGTTATTATAATAAAATGCGCATATAAATAATAAACACAAGTTAGGTGGCAAACAAATACATTTAAGTATGTAGTAGTAATAGACCGGACATCAGCAACAAAACTGTCGTCTGTAACTTTTGTCCTATAGGATATACTCGTATCTCCGATTTTTGTCATTTAGTCTAAGTGACATCACCGAAAGGTCAAGACGCATTCGCTTCATAAATTAAAAAAAAAATTTTTAAAGAAAATATGCCCGGTTGTGCATTAAGGTAAGTCACGATATGGAGCAAAAATGAACATGATTTCGGTTTATTATCCTAAGAATAATGTATATTTACCAAATAATCTTTAAATTTTATTATTTCTGGCAGATTGTTCTAGTAAACAGAAAAATTATTGTAATAAGTGCCCTCTGTTATCCAGTAACGTCACTATTTATTTACATATATGTTAGTAATTGACTACGTGCCTAAAACCGATTTTTACCTTATGTTTAGAAGCGTCACCTGATGGGAAATAGCTAAAATGTTTTCCAAATAAATATTCAATGTTGTATTGCTATTTTTCGCTAGAGGGCTTAGCACACGTGCGTGCTCACAGTTTTTGTATGAAAATGTTTCCAATGTCCGCTCTATAGTATATATTTAAATCACTTTGGTGGCAAATAACCCTTTACTACGGCGCTTAGTTTTAAAAGGCCAAATTCTTCATCGGGTGTACGACGCATGCGGCGATTTTTGATGTCGAGGCGGCGCCTTTGACAAGATACAGCACGTGCTAAGGCCCCGCGACATAGAGGCGACCGTATCTAAGCGAACAGACTATATTTTTCCTGACATAAATTGCTCTTTTTTAATTCCTAAAATTATTTTGAATTTTTAGTAATAATATTTTCTTAAAAAAGAATCTATCAAAAGAAAATTAAATAATACCTTATTTGAATACCTTTAATAGATTCTCATACACGCCAAAACGTAACAACTTAATCAATTTTACGCGTCTTAACGAATGGCCAAAAAAACTCCCTATTCCTTAACGTCACAGGGACTTCATTCACTGGTAACATGTCGACAAAGATATACCTAGATACCTTAGTTTTAGTCTATTTATACCGCATCTCAAAGTGCTGTAGGTTCAAATATAAATCCCCAATTTCAGTAAATCTCGATTTCATTTTATATCATATCTCGGCTTTTTTTTCGCTAAAACTCGTAAATTTTTTAAATAGTAGTTTTTGTTCTAAGACCTTACACAATACTAGTTTTGCCCAAGCATTCAAAATTTAAAAATAAAACATAAATATAGGGCCCGATAGTTATTGTTTATATTTAAATCCAATTTTTCATTCTTGGCATAATATTATGAAGAATTAAAAATTGGATTCGATTTACTGATTTCTCGAATTTGACCATTCAAATATTTCGCGAAAATTCTTTGAAGTAGTATTTAACCTTTATCAGTTAAATATTACAAGGAATAGCATCAACATTTTGGTAACAATTATGTATGGTTAAAATTTAATTTTACACTTGTTCCAAGAAAATAAGTAGTTTTATTTTGTACATGTTCAATAAGACTGAATAGCCGTTTGTTATGATTTTGAGATAACTGAAATTTCAAAAACATTTAATTTTTCTGTTTCCACTTATAGTTCATGTGCGCAGACATATAATACACAAACAGTAATAAAAACAGATAAAAAATAACAGAGTGAAGCTACCTAGCATATTGTTACGGTAGCGGCCATGTTTGCAGAAGAAAGGGATACATTTATTAGGGTTTCGTTGCATCCCTTTCACTCCAAGGCACTCGAATTAGGTAGATTTTATAATAACAGTTTTAACAATTGTAATTTCGATCAATTTCTTATTAATAGGATAATTACAGATTAGAAATAGATAACCTCTTCGCTAATATGAATGAACTGGCAATATTATATTCATTTTCTATATACACAAAGAGAGAACATTCATGAAGTTTGGGTAGGTACATTCAAATGATTAAAACAATAATGTCATTCTTTAAAGAATTAAAAAAAGTGTAGTACAACGCGGTCACATTAACTTGAGGCATCGCTGGAATGCGTGGCCCCGCCCGCTTCCCCCCGCACTCCCTTAGCTCGCCCGGCAATCGTCAGTAATATCGTCGCGCGTCGATATTTTGACAAGTTTTCTGTTGCTATTGTTGTTATTGGATATTTTGTTACGTTTTCGTTATTGTTTAAGTTTGGCTGTTTTTGGACATTTTGTTACGTTTTTTTATTTTTTAAGTTTGGACTGTTTTTGTTAATTTTAGACTATTATTGTTACTACTTATTTTTTTAACATGGGGAAAACTATACACGGTGAAGGCAGGTATCTTGTGTTGAAAGTGCTGCAGTTTTTCGAGAATGAGAAGAAAAATAGACGCTTTTGCATACCTGTAGATTAGGTTGATAAATGAACCTGTGCAGCAACTGGAATATTAAG